TACCGGCGGGCAAACACACGAGGACATGCATTCATGCAACACCTCGTAAGCATACACCTGCGCAAAAGTCAGCCCCAACAGCAATCTAAGCTGCCATAGTTCCATGAAGCTCTGTGGAGAGCACTGATAGACGTTATGATTTATTAATGTGTTTTCCTCCAGGGATTCTATACGGAAAGAAAAATAGGAAATTCTACATATCAAATTCCCCTTGGGAGAGTCTATCGCAGTGCTTCAAAAGTAGCTAAGAACTCTGCCATTAATTAGAATGATGCACTGATTTGTTCATTATGGTAAAGCGAACACAACATGAAATGCATTTGAAAGCATGTGGGTCAGCTGCATCTAGTTACACTCATCCTCTAGTCCCAGCTCTACATCTTTTCAATCAAAATCTGACTGAATCCATTTTCTTCTGGGAAATGTATTCCATCTTTTAATTTAGTGCATCTACAGGAGAATATATTCATGGAGATATTAATCAAGTCTTCTCTTTTTAAAAATTAGAAAAACATTGAGAGATTAAATGCCTTTCTCAAAATCGCATTGGTAGTCAAGATGGTGCATTTCTTTGTCAGGTTTCCTATTTCTGAGACCAGGGTATTTGGTATTTTATGAAACTTCCCCTTGTTTCCATTTCTGTTCCTGCTGAGATGATTTAGTAATCTACAGAGTATAAGCTGACATTCTTCCTAGAAGAGTTTAAGATTCATACAAGCATCTTGGGCTGAGGATATAGTTCAGTCAGGAAAATGGTTAGATAGCAAGCATGAAGAAGAGTTCTGCCCCAGGAACCTTTCTTTCTAGGTAAGAAAGCTGGGATGATGGTGTGAGCCTATAATCCCAGCCCCAGGGAAGTGGAGACAGGGGCATCTCTGGTACTCATCGGGGAGCCAGGCTCATCTAATTGGTGAGCTCCAGGGAAAAAAAGAAATCCTGTTTCAAAGGACAGTGTTCCTAAGGATGACACAGAGATAATCCTTTGGCCTCCACACAGTGTGCACACAAACCAGCGCACTCACGTCCATAATATATGCATAAAATAAGCACATGATATTTAGAAGTTATACTAAACTTGTTTTATGGATTTATCATTGTGTTTTTCTATTGAGGACTTTCATTGTAATAACTCTAATGCACACAATTCTGTTCTTAGGTCTGTTTAAGGTCATGCCTGATAAAACTCCGTACCTTACAATGGAAGAAATCACGAGAACCATCCATATCAGACCTGGTAGACTAGGACAACCTTGCTTTTATCACCTGAAGGATATAAAACTAGAGAATCTCACCATTAAGCAGGGTGAGCCAATCCAGCTCAACTCAGTTGAAGAGATCGATGGAGAAATGCTGGTGAACTGTGGAGTGGTAAGGCATCACCAGAGCCATTCGTTTACTCTGCCTTTGTCACAGGAAGGAGAATTTTATGAGTGTGTGGATGAACATATTTATACCCTAAAAGAAATCGTTGAGTGGAAGATTCCCAAGAACAGAACAAGGACTGTGAAGCTTACGGATTTCTCAAATAAGTGGGACTCAACCAATCCACTCCCTGAAGACTTTTATGGTACTCTGATTCTCAAGCCTGTTTATGAAATTCAAGGTGTGCTGAAATGTAAGTACCCACTGAGGGCGATACCGTGTGTGAGTTAGCATTGTGGAGTTAATAGAAAAATGTTTAGACCCTGAAGAATGGGATTCTGTCACTGTCATTCATTAAGTGTCTTAGACTGAAATTCTTCATCTGTACATAAGAAAACCACAGACAGCTACCTCTTAAGGAGCAGATTAAGGAGTGAGTGTGCAGATATTTTTTTTTTTATAAAAAAACACTTTTTATAAAGTGTTTAAGGCTATCCAAGCATAAGATGCTATAACTCTGAGATACACATAGAAAAATGCTAGGTTTTTTTATTATTGGTTATTAGGAGTTAATTTTTATGACAGTCAACAGAAAGAAGTTTTCTTGTTTTTTCAGTGTCCCTTGTTTCTATTTCATGACAACGTTTCCTCCCCTCTCCCCCCAAATCTTAGCCATTTAAGACTGGTCACAGTTTTTTTTTTTTTTTAACATAGATTCTCTGAGTCGAGGAAGATGATATGTTAAATTAATTTTCACACTGTAATATATATTACATTTTAAGATATCTGCAGAGAGCATTGTTCTCCCAGAGATATTGATACCTTAAATTTTCAAACTTATGGTACATTATGGGGGCAATCAGTAGATTACAGAATTTTGAAGCAGTTTCTACTCAAGCCCGATAGCATGCCCAATAATCCTAGCTTCTCTGGAGGTTGAGGCAGGAGGATGGCAAGTTCAGGTTTGCCCTAGTGGCACATGGCCAGCCTGGTCAACTTAACAAGGCTCTGTCTCAAAATAAAAAATAAAAAATAAAAAAAGTAGTAAAGAGTACAGCTGAAGAGCAGGACAGTAATCACAGGTGAAATCCAAGGCTCAGTAACTTTCTAAATGCGAGCTTTGGGTAAGCTGTGTTTGCCCTTTTGAAGCTCCTTTGAAAGTGAAATAAAGTGAGCTTTTCTCTCTTTTTTCTGTTTTTTTTTGAATATAAAACAATGACACTGACACATAAAGTTACTGTTTTTATATAATTTAATTGAGTCCTTATATGCATATAATCTCAAATCCTAACCCCTCAGTGTTTTTAATTTTATTTTATTTATATATTGTTTATTACAATTTATTCACTTTGTATCCCATCTCCCTCATCTCCCAGTCCTACCCGTCCTCTCTCTTCCCCTATGCCCCTTCCCTAGTCTCCTGGTAGGGGAGGACCTCCTCCCCTTCTCTCTGACCCTAGCTTATCAGGTCTCATCAAGGCTGGCTGTATCATCTTCTTCTGTGACCTGTGAAGGCTGCACCACCCAAGGGGAGGTGATCAAAGAGCCAGCCACTGCGTTCATGTCAGAGACAACCCCTGCTTTACTTATGAAGGAACCCACTTGGAAACTGAGCAGCCAATGGGCTTCCTTTAAACAAAGGGTCTAGGTCCTCTCCATGAATGGTCCTTGGTTGCAGTATTGGTCTCTGCAGGCTCCCCTGGGCCCAGGTATTTTTGCTCTGTTGTTTTCCTTGTGGAGTTCCTGTCCTCTCCAGGTCTTTCTGTCTCCCTTTTCTTCCATAGGATTCCAGCACTCTGCCCAAAGTTTGGCTAAGAGTCTCAGTATCTCTTTTGATACCCTGGTGGGTAGAGTCTTTCAGAGGCCCCCTGTGGAAGGCTCCTATCCTTCCCTGTCTTCTACTTCCAACATCTATCCTGTTTGCCCTTCTGAATGAGAATTAAGCCTCTTCCCTAGGGTCCTCTTTGTTGCTTAGCTTCTTTAGGGCTATAGATTTTTTTTAATGTTTATCCTCTATTACATGGCTAATATCCACGTACAAGTGAGTAAATATCTTATGTGTCTTTCTGCTTCTGGTTTACCTCATCAGGATGATGTTTTCTAGTTCTCATCATTTGCTTGCAAATTTCAGGATTTCCCTGTTTTAATTGCTGAGTAGTATTCCATTGTGTAAATGCACCACACTTTTGTATCCCCTCCTCTGTTGAGGGACATCTAGGTTGTTTCCAGATTCTGGCTATTACAAATAAAGCTGCTTTGAACATAGTTGAGCAAATGTCTTTATTGACTGGTGGGGCATCTTTTGGATATATGCCCAGGAGTGGTAGAGTAGAATCTTGAGGTAGTACTATTCCTAATTTTCTGAGAAATTGCCAGATTGATTTCCAAAGTGTTTGTACAAGTTTACATTCCCACCAGCAATGGACAAGGGATCCCCTTTCTCCACAACCTCTCCAGCATGCATCATCCCTTGAGATTTTTGATCTTAGCCATTCTGATGGTATGCGAGGTATGTGATGTAGGGTATGAGGTATAATATCAGGGTTATTTGGATTTTCATTCCCCAGATGACTAAGGACATTGAACATTTCTTTAAGTGTTTCTCTGCCTTTCGATATTCTTCTGTTGAGAATTCTCTGTTTAGCTCTATTCTATTTTTTAAATTGGATTGCTTGGTTTGTTGGAGTTTAACTTTTTCAGTTCTTTATATATTCTGGATATTAGCCCTCTGTCAGATGTAGGGTTGGTGAAGATCTTTTCCCAGTCTGTAGGCAGTTGTTTTGTTCTGACAACAATGTCTTTTGCTTTACAGAAGCTTTTCAGTTTCATGAGGTCCAGTTTATTGATGTTGATCTTAGAGCCTGTGCTGTTGGTGTTCTGTTCAGGAAATTGTCTCCTGTGCCAATGAGTTCAAGGCTCTGCCCCACTTTTTCTTCTAACAGATTTAGTGAGTCTGGTTAAAGATCATCCTGTGTGAGGTAACCCAGAAGCAAAAAGACACATATGGTATATACTCATTTATAAGTGTATATTATAGGATAAACATAATATAATATAGGATAAACATAATAAAATCCATAGTCCTAAAGAAGCTAAACACAAGGAAGACCCTAGGGAAGAGGCTGAAATGTCACTCAGAAAGGCAAACAGGATAGACATGGGAAGAAGGAGAAGACAAGGAAATAGAAGAAGACAAGGAACAGGACAAAACCTTTTACAGTGAACCTCTGAAAGACTCTACCCACCAGAGTATTGAAGGAGATACCAAGAAATTCGGGCAGAGTTCAGGAAAACTTATGGAAGAAGAGGGAGGGAGAGAGAAAGAGCTGGAGGGGACAGGAACTCCACAAGAACAAAAGAGCCAAAATACCTGGGCTCAAGGGGTTCTTCAGAGACTGATACTCCAACCAAAGACCATGCATGGAAAAGACCTAGAACCCCTGCTCAGAGGAAGCCCATAGGCTGCTCAGTTTCCAAGTGGGTTCCCTATTAAGGGGAGCAAGGGCTTTCTCTCACATGAAATCAGTGGCATTCTCTTTATTCAACTACCCCTGAGTGGTGAAGCCTTGCCAGGCAATAGAGGAAGATAATGCAGCCAGCCCTGATGAGGCCTCATAGGCTAGGGTGAGACAGAAGAAGAGGAGGTCCTCCCCTATCAGGGGACTAGGAAAAGGGAGAATGGGGTGGGACTAGGAGAAGGCGAGGGAGGGGGTTACATTGGGGAAAGAAAGAAAGAAAGAAAGAAAGAAAGAAAGAAAGAAAGAAAGAAAGGAAAAGAAAAATTTTAAAAAGAAAGTGAAATAAGGTGATACTAAAAAGTTAAGATCCTTAAGTAGTAGATCAAAATATTTCATCAAAAGCTCCCTCCTTTCCCTCCTTAAATGTCTCAAAATTGATTTTTTTTTTCTGTCCTCTTTGTCCTTACATATTTATCAAAAGAAAGTATGGGAGTCTTCTGACAGATTTGAGAATTGTGTGTTAAATTCTATCATGCTAAAAGTATTAATTCAAAATTTATTCAATTCATTTTGTACTAAAGGTATAGGAATATTTTGATTTTATAAATTTTTAGACCACAGCAAATTTTAGAATTCACAGTAGTGTTCTGGTAGCTGTCCCAAATCATGCAACTGAGATGAATGATTGAGTTTTTCTTACTGTTTATGAATAATAGATAGCATTTTTAAAATTTTCAACTCAGCTAATTTTCTACAATTATCATTTTCCACCTTGTCACATGTTTACAAATGAGAACAAACCCAGATCCTAAACATGTGGACAGAGAGGTTATGGCTTTTAATGGATTTGGATTAGGAATCAAGTGTTGATAGATGAATGAGAATTACTCAAACCATGTAAGGAAAAAATTAAAACCAAAGTCAAGCTTAACTGGTGGAAAAGTAGGGAAGCGAGTGAGTAGAAATTCAGCACATCTATCTATCTATCTATCTATCTATCTATCTATCTATCTATCTATCTATCTATCTATCTATCTATCTAAAAGAAGGCAGACAGAGGTAAACATGAAAATACACATGGCAGATGTGTGTGTGTGTGTGTGTGTGTGTGTGTGTGTGTGTAGTGTAAGCATTCACAAAAAGTCATAAAGACTAACCAGATACATAAACTTGAGATTTATCCTAATCAAGAAAGACTGTTAAGGTGGGAGAGGCAGAACATGGGAACATCGTAATTCCAGCAGAAAATTCAGTGTATGAAAGTTCTATTCAATGTCTGCTTCGATACCCTGATGGGTGGTGTCTTTCAGATACCCCCTGTGGAAGCCTCCTGTCTTGTCTTCTACTTCTGATGTCTATCCTGTTTGCCCTTCTGAATGAGGATTAAGCCTCTTCCCTAGGATCCTGCTTGTTGTTTAGCTTCTTTAGGACTATAGATTTTAGGATGTTTATCCTTCTTATATGGCTAATTTATCCACTTCTAAGTGAGTATATACCATTTGTGCCTTTCTGGATCTATGCTACCTCACTCAGGATGATCTTTTCTAATTCTATCCATTTTCCTGCAAATTTCATGATTTCCTTGTTTTTCATTGCTGAGTAGTATTCCAGTGTATAAATGTACCACAACTTCTGAATCCATTCGTCAGTTGAGGGATATTCCAGATTCTGTCTACTATGAACATAGTTGAGCATATGTCATTGTTGTATGGTTTAATATTTTTCAGATATATACCCAGGAGTGGTATAGCTGGAGGTATGCCAGCTTGAGGTAGCACTATTCCTAATTTTCTGA